GCAGCACTCAGTATTTGTGTGTGCTCGAGGTGGCCTCAGCGACATAGTTGATGGATGGTCACACTGAAATTGCATGTCGCGATCCATTGACGCACCGGGTGCTTCAAAATGACAATTCCACTGCGTTGATTGGTGTTTATGGAAATCACGAGTTGATTTACGCTCCATCACACTCCATTCATATCCTACGTGCAACAGGTTCCATTCATTTGAACTAATAGAATGACTGCACTCTCGATTTCCACGCATGATACAAATTGGACATCCGAACAGGATAATTCATCTCAATCTCGTCTCATCTCAAACCATACAGCAATCTCAACTGAATTAAATACGCGTTGTTAACCGGTATATTTTCCGAATTTTCATGAATCTGCTTCAGACCCAAGGTGTTACATAATTTAAAATATGCGGCACGAGTGTCCAAAGAATGACTGCTCGAATGGATTTCTTTAGAATATAATAATCTTTTACTCGTCTTTTATCTTTAAGCTCAAAATATTTTTTGAAATTTTCAAATGCTCATTTTCAGTTCATTTTTTCACATGTGGTACATTTCGTGAAAAAAGTGGCTCGGTTTAACTGAAAAGTTATACATAACCCTTACGCTAGTGTGTGAGCATCGAAAACTTTGCAGTATTTGATATTTATTCCTTAGCTGCTTTGGAATTTATCTAGTTACCAGAGACCTGATCCTGTGTCACTCTCGCACTAAGGACGCGATGTCCACCTGTAAGTATAGCATACGTCAACACTTTGTATGGGAAAACGAGTAATGTTGGACTTATGGGCAGTGGTGATGGCGAATATAGGGGAGGTGATGCACTTGTGAATACGAGATCATGCACATACTAATTCTGATCGACATACCGTTGAGCAAATAAACATTAAAAGTTGGAGGCAAAAGAAGAACTTTGTTTGCTTTCTCCGGCAACTATGGCAAATAATCATATCTTGATGCACATGATAGTTAAGTGTAGAAACCAACAGTGGAATGGAGTTATAGCTCGGTTAGGGGTTCTTTTTTGGCTTCCATTTAGTCACGAATAGAGAGAATAGAAAGTATTAGTCTAGCCGATGAAGATTGTGCTATTCAGCATGAAATTAGTGCCCACGCTCGCTGGGACGTTCTCATACATCTCAAAAATGACGTTTCACGACTACTCTGTATAGGCCATCGCGACGAGACTGGGCCTTAACGTGGTGCGTTGGTTTGCCTACCTCTGGCTCATTGTACTACGCTGGGTGGCGTTTTCCAAGTACCTGTACTGCCATCTATACCTATACCTATGGGTCAGACCAACAGTCCAACAATACAATCCCTTTCAGAGGTTAGGCAGAGGTCGATGACCCTCTTCCTTTAAAACCTGACCATAGGAGAGAGCATGTTTACGGATTATACTACTTCTACTGCTACCACAACAACAACAACAATAAATACTACTACTACTAATGATGTTAGATAATAATAATAAAGTTTGTTTTCTCTTGGTACCGAGAAATCGAGCCCACAAACGGACGGATCATATTTACATTACACCATGATCAGGCATGCCAGATTGTCAATGGTTTGGGTTTTTACGAGATTACAATGGGAATGTTTTTGCGCATCTTTTCATTTGGGACTTTTGTCTCCATATGCTACCAGTTCGCGGGCATTCTCATTTGGTTGTTTGCGGTGCAACTTGCTAGTGTCATGATGGCGGCGGTTGATGGGGGGAGGAGTATGAAAAGGATGAACCCGTTGGATTCACCAATCAAGATGTGATGAGTAATACTCAGTCTTACTTAATGGACTGCGGTAATACAGTTGGAGCTATTTGTGAATAGCAAGTCCCTGGTCGATTAGCGTAGAGCACGAGTGCTGCGCATTGTCTCTAATGCTAGAAGGGCATCTTCTGGTACTCAGTGGTTTGCTACTGCCGGCCTCAAGCCAGGCAGCTCCTGGTCGAGTTGGTGTAAACCCAGCAGCTCCCACGTGCGGTTGGCCAAGGTCGCAGTTGCATAACATGGTTGGCGGCATCCAGTTCCGGATTTGCCCATCACTGCGGTTTCCATAGGGCAGCCACAGAACGCCTGCGCACACAGAGGGACCATCGGTGGCATGCGCTGTACCACTACAGTTCTATCCACACACCCCATATCCTGTTTAAACCCGAAGGAATAAGACCATGAGCAATGTGGACGGGGACTGCGTTTCATCAACGGAGCCAACCCACACTCCCTCAACATTCACAACAGCAGCATTCCTGATTACGTAAATTGGGAATCACGTGTAACATGGTTGGCGACATCCGGTTTCGGATTTGCCTGTCACTGTGGCCAGCCACAGGACGCCTGCGCCTACAGAGGGACCATGGGTGGCTTGCGCTGCACCACCCACAGCTCCAACCACACACCCCATATCCAGTGTAAACCCGAAGGAATAAGACCGGGAGGCATGTGGATGGGAGCCACGTTTCATCAACGGAGCCGGCCCACACTCCTTCACAGGCAAACACAAGCACGCTGTATTTGGGGAATCAAGCGCACACAAGGCGGTGGCTGGACCGTAGTCCGCTCCACACTGAGTGCATGGAACCACTCTTCGAGCCTAACACGACCACAAGGACCGTGCACCCCGTCCCCTCCAGCAACGACCAACTGTCTCCTGGAGCCAGTATGGACGAGGTAGTGGGTAATAGACAGGTAGGCACCTTGTCAACATGCACATCAAGCGCAGCCACACCTGGGATGTCAAACAACAGCCAATCATTCGAAATGCCGGTATCAAATAAAAGATATCGAATAAAGTCAACGTATATGACGACATAAATACTCGCTAAATGAGCGTTTGCAGTAAATTGGTTATAAGCGAATCCGCGATAAGTACAAAATGTCCGAAAGTTATTTAAAAATTACTACGTGATAAAGTTACGCAAGGTTACCACAATTTGCATGAGTGATGTGTGCAAGTTAGGAGAAGATTATCAAGTACCCAGAACAAAGCAAATAAAGTGGAATGAATTTTATCCACATTAAAAAGACCTAGTTTAAGTGTAAGCTGGTTTAGCCCAACTGTGGTGAAGAAGCATCATGAATGCAACATCAGCCTCAGCATGGGGCACACGTGTAACATACTACGCTCGTAAAACACGTAGGCATTGTTCCATATCTTCAAAGACTGTGTGTGACAGGCCTGAAGCAGATTCCAATGGGTCACTGTAGTGACACTCCTTAGCTGGACTTGCTCGCCACTGCCTTGTGGATCAGGATGTTGAGCCAACGGCTCCGGGTAGAGTCCCTCAAGCGAATCTCTATGTACCCCACTGCCTTGTTGATCATACTGTTAAGTCACTGAGCAATGGTGTATCACGACTAAAATATGCTGGTGCTTGATAAGTCATGTGGGATGTTTGGGGTGAAAACTGCAAATTGAGAAGATATGTGATCCGTCTGTTCAAGCATCTGTCAAGTTAGCTGCATTTCTGAATAACGATAGTGTACAACGAGAATAGCATGCAAGCATACGGAACAACTTGGGGCGTGTTGTTAGTCGACGTATTGTGTGATGAGAAAAGGTCGCTCGCTCGTGCATCACTTCCTTTGGTCCATGTGACACACAAATCTGGTATGGCATGATTAAGGTAATCCACAGTATCACAGCTTAAGTTTTTTGAGGATATCCAATGTAGAGGAGGAGAAAACTGAGTTTGCGAGTGAGTTCCAAACTTGGCAAACCCAATGAGAAATTTAATTCCGTAGATATTCTAGACGGCTCTATTGTTCGCTCACTTTCAGGCAGTTAACTCAGAGCTTGGTATTCTGGCTAGGTTTCAGCAAATGGTGGCATACGTGATTGGGATCACTCAATATTTGTGAATGATATTGCATTTCTCAGATGGATCTTACCCTCGTTTCGATACTGTAGCGTTTCATAGCAAATCAGTTCTTGTCATGCTTTTTGAGACACCGCCCAACTAACGAGCACGTCTAACACACCGAGTTTCTTACCACCATAATTCACGATAAATATGTTAATTTCGCATATACAGAAGTTGTGGGATATTTCTACCTACCCGCTATCCCTATTACTCAGTTCTGTTGGTATTGTACACCGGCGCGACTGCACAGCAAATGGCTAGATTCCGCCACATACCATACATGCGAAACGCGTTACAAATGCTTGCGTCGTTTCACCACGAGATAGGCCCAGACAACGTAAGCTGCTCACTTTGAAACGTCCTCGTTCGTTTGGGCTATAGTTGCGCTTCCTACTGCTTCTGAACTCTACGTTGAATCTCAGTGGCTTTCTAGCTCACAATTTGTGTCCGATTTGGACTATGCAAACACGCAAATAACCATGATTTTCCTTCACACGCACCTCAATCATTATGATTTTACCCGATCTGTTTTACATTTTACCTTTGATTTCTCTCATCCCACCTTTGTTTAAACTGAGAAAGCTAAATTTCCCTCCTGAATGGCGACACCTTGGCAACCGGCGAGATATGCCCTCCACTAGCTACCCTAACCCTTTCGATCGGACACACCTTGATCGTTTGACAAGCACTGACATGTCTTCTTTAGGGACCACTCTTGATCCGCCTTACGTCTGAAGCGGCTGCTCTACTCTGAGCAGTACTTGTTCTAGCTGCGTGCTTACCTACTGCTTAGTGGCACTTAAATATCACGTCTGGTAGAAAATTGTTCATCTTCAACGACTCATGAAGCCGTTTTATCCCAGTTATTTACCTGCGCACCCAACTTCATGCTCATTAAGATAATACTTGATTTTATCGCTAGTTCAGTTCGTTTCAGATGACTTTTTGAGTAGACTTGTGGCGTTACTTTTCGATGCTATTCCCTACACCCTATGGCTTTCCAAATAAATGATGCTTTGTTCCTGACATATAATCCTTCGGTCTTTAGGTTGACAAACACTGATGGCTTTTTCTCCATGGTAGCCAAAACACTCGGTGAACTATGGTACATCATGATCCATATTTTCTCACTTTTAGATGTTGATCGAGCACGTAAGCATGGTCTGGATGAGTTCGTTGTGGTAGAACCATGGCGCGTCAATCACGCCGAGTTGTTCCACTTGCTCCAATCTCGTTCTCTGGAACATCGGATGAAAGACCCCTACGTCTCTCTTGGCTGGTTCAGCCCCAGCCAGATGTTTATTTTGGATGAATATTGTGCCCGCTATGGTGTCCGCGGTTGTCATCGCCACTTGTGTTACCTCTCCAGCCTTTTGGACCGTGCCGAACACGGTATTATGATTGACCCTGCATTGGTGCATTACTCGTACGCATTCTGCTGTTGTCACGTGTTCGGCAATGCGTGAGTTCAAGTGGTTGGCTGTTTTCCTTACTTCTTTTTCCATAATTCCTTGGTCGATTAACTGTTCGGTGTCCTGATATCACTGTACGCTGTCACCATCCGTCGAACTTCTACTTATGTGTTTTCATGCTTCACGTCACGAGTCCTTTACATTGTGACTTCTCCATTCTGGTTACAGATTCTACCCATCCTATTCTAGTCCTGGTTGATTGCTGTGGATTGTATTACTGTAAACGTCAGACTCTGTTGTTCTCTTAACATTTCTTTGCCTTTCTTAGTTTCTCTGCACCCATGTGTTCATTGCAGTCTTAACGGTTCCTCGTTGGAACCCATAGGAATTTTTATCATAGACGTAATATATTCCATTTGTTGGAGTGGATGGATTCCTGTTCCGGAACCGGGCCGTCAACAATCCTTGTATTTTGTTTCGTGGACAACGCTGTCGTCACAAACGATTGAAGTTTGTGCTACTGATTGTACTAACACTTTACGGGATGTTATTTACTTAAGCTTTCAACTCGAGGGAACTATAAAGTCCGAAAGGAACTTTGATGTATTCCCCGACCTGGATTGCTTACTTGAGGATACGGTTTCCCTATTCCCTAATTATTCTGTCCATTTTACATTGCTTTCACTCTGTGTGCTGCCATCGGTTACCATGTTGAACATTTATTCCTTTCACTCTCGAACACTGATATATTCTTGACGTTTCAAGGTCATCCATATTATTCTGTTACTGTGACACTGCCCGAATTCCCGCATGCTGCCGTACGCTTTACAATTTCTACCCTATTGCACTACGATTGCAAAACCTATTCGTTAGTCATGTACTGTATTTAATTTGCCTTATAGAATCACGGTTACAGGATAATTCGTTTTATTCTTCTGCCCAGACTATGCGTTAATTCTAGGTTTATTAGTTCGTAGTTTCTAATCTAGGTTTCCTACTACCTACCTAATTTAGGCTTCGTGTCGTTGGTACAGTGATCATGGAACTACGTTTCAGTATGCCACTCACGCCGAACGGCTAAGACTTGTACTGAGTCCAACTGGAATCCGCATAGATGCCTTACATTGCACTACAAGAATGTGCGCACGACTTGACCAAACCACCAGACGTAGATTCAAACAGCCATGAAATTAACTGATGGAGCACTTGGTCCATACTCTAACTGGTACGAGTACGTACAGAGCGAACCAATGGTTACCCAGCAGCACTTCCCATCTCTAGTGGACTGTGTAGCTGTTACGACATTGTTACCCTGGTTAGCAATCTAAAGCTGAGTCACTGCTATCAATCTGTTTTCTACTACGCGTTGTCCATCGCACCTAAATCGGTCACGAAATGTCTGCAACCAAATTGCTCATTTCGGCTAGCAAATTAACACAGCTGCCCACCCTAGCTCTTGACATTGCTAACACGAACTAACTTTATCGAAACGGACGGCATGTGCTTCGGCACTCAGCCGCAGCTTCTGCACATGGTCTGAGATTTCTAACAGCCTCTACACATGCATCATAAAGCCAATGATGTAGTACGATTCACGTGCATGCTATCCGCCACTCTTGACGAAATCCAGGTCGCCATCAGGCTGATCCCCATTTTGCGCGATGCACTGTACGAAGACCGGTGCAAGAAAATATCCTACCCCGTCGGATACCTATCGACCACATTATGACCTACCTCATTTTATAGCTCTCGTTTTGAGACCAATGCTCCACCCATACACATCGTATGTCGCACGCGGACACTGGTGTGGATTTGTGCTACCGGGTCCGTAGATACCTGACCATTCCGTGAGTGGTTAATGGCTAGAGCCCCTTGCTACGGCACACATTGAGGGCGAAATCAGTGCGACACCTCAAGGTATTCCTTCATTTAATTCCATGCACAGAACGCTTACCTGCACACGACATCTCATTTGTTACTGTGTGTCACACGATTTTATGATATCGTATTAAAGCTTGAAGAGCGGCTAATCAGTCTGTGGATAATTGGCTGCTAGTTGTATAACTTGCAATCAAATTTCTAGGAGGCTGTACAGTCTTTATTTCTTACTCCAGCAATACGGTATTCAACCGCATATGACGTACCTCGGTGTGTGGCTGTCAGTAGCTTTGAAACACCTACTTATTTTCCGCTCGTTCTCTTGTTCTATGTCCACTTGGCAATCGATTCGCCAGAAAACTTGAAGCGGCCCATCTGTTGCCCATGAGCTGAAACGTCATCTGTTACTGATGGATAATCTGAATGCCGATTGGAATTACCTCCAACGCTCTTGGAGGTGTCCTAATAGTGGATGAATTCCTCATCCCCCAAAAGCTTAGATCGAATAGTTGAATACCGCCCTATCGGATGCTCAGTCTCTGAGAGTCAGGAAGCCCCTGAAGTCGCATCTGATTAGCAGCCTCAAGAGTGCCATGTATCGCTTTTGTAAATAGCCTTAGTGCACTAGCTGATCCGAAGCGCGCATCCATAGGAGCCTTTTGTGTTGAAAACCACTTACGAGAGAATATTCAATAGTTGTTCTCTCAGGCCCACTAGTCTAAATCTAGGAAGAGAATTTCTCGAGGGCACTTCATCTGATCTCTATCGTCGTCATGTTCTTAATCCCCTGATTCCACTTGCGATCATGATGACACTAGGTTTATGCACAGTGCTATCGATCTCTGTCGATGATCGGATAATTTGGCTTGCTTGCTTCATGTTAATGCTCCACTGCTGGGCAGGGTAGGATCCATCCATATTGACACAAACCAGCGTGTTTTAGTGGTAGTAAGATGAATTATTCACGGTTGCACGTAGCAGAACGCCCACTAATCCTCAGAAAAGGTGTGTTGGCAGCGGTTCCTTTTTTCCGACATGTCATATTGCGTATCATTTCGACTCAGTCGCTGCTCCTAAAACCACGCAGAAATTAAACTCTCTCGCTTACGGTTTATGCTTTTGGTTAGTTTAACCCAATTTGTATTCGCATATGTGCGCGCATTGACATGTTCGTTATCTGTTTCACTCGATTACTACTGGTTGCTCCTTGAAATTGCGTTCCAACTTGGCCACAATTCATTTTAGTCTGTACTCATTGTCAGGTTTTCGAGATGTGTTGCGGTTTTGTGTACCTTTGATGCCCAAGCTTCCTAAACTTATTCCTTTCCGTTTGAGTTATGCATCATGTTGCATCATCATCATCATTATACACGTTAGCTGCAGGTGGGAAACACCTCACCTATTGTGCCGCAATACAAAAGATAAGAAAAGGAAAACAAATATGGGCACGCCGGCTGAGTCCCCATTAACGAATGGACATGGTTCCAGAGAGCTAACAGCTGGCTATAGTGTCGTAAAAGGAGAGTCATATTATGCCTAACGAGTGAGATCGTGGTTGGAGGGGGATGCTAAGCAGGAGGGGGATGGACAAAGGAACTCACAACACAAACGCCATGGGGCCGGCTCCAAGCCATATCAGCAAGTGTGTCCAACCAAACGTGTTCACCGTCGAAATCAGGCTGATCCCTCTATGATTGCCGCATTCCAAACGGGAGTTTCCCTTGAAAATTTGGACGGAGCGGTTTCTGTCTGTCGGGACAGTCTCCTGCTCCCAAAGTTTCACTAGCAACTCGTGTAAATCATCTATTAGAGCAGGTCCCCCGAATTTGAAGAGGGCTGGTAGAATTCTATCTGCCCCTGCGTCCTTAGGCAATTTTAACAGCCTGATCCCACGTTCGACTTCTGCGCGTGAGAGCGGAGCAATGATAGATGTCCAGGGAGAAAAGCGCTTAATGCCTGAAAAATAAAACGATATCTCAGATAGGCTAAATTGCCTTGCAGTGTTCAGCATAACGCTCCAAGCGTTTTGGCAGCCTGTGGATCGGCTGCCCACTCTCGTCGCGTATGGTTTTGCAAACACCAGGTCTCTTGCTGCCTGTTTCCCGTATCAGACGGAATAACTTACGATGATTGTTAACGTTAGCGGCTGTTTCCATCTCAGTGGCACGATGAAACCACCAGGTTTCGCGGTCTTTCTTCAGGATAGCACGCAGTTTCGCCTTATATTTTTGCAAGTCTCATTGTATTCGCTTTCAGCCGGAATACATCGGCGAGTATCCATAAGTTCCAAAGACAGTGTAGAGACCCAATGTCCGGTTTGGCAATTTGCTTTGCCACATGAAGACATGCCTGTTAACAGTAACGTTTGACGAATATGCGAGCAGTGATCTTCGACGGTGGGCGCTTACTCAGCCCGGATGTCAGCGCACTTTGATGCACATTCAGAACACCTGGCTTCGCCAGCTGGCTTGTGTCAATCCGTTCACATTGACGTTGCGGACGTCCATCGAAGCGCACCCGGAGGTCGGCGCAGACAAGTGCGTGGTGAGAGTTCACGCTCGTGCTCCAAATCGAGCGATAGTTTTGGACATAGCCTCTCCAGCGGTAACTGATCGCGATATGATCGATTTGATTCCATGGCTGGCTCGAAGCTGGTGGCCGCCAAGTCACGCTTCTGCGGGTGCTGTGTCGAAAGTTAGTGCTCGCGAGAAAGAGGCGAGCATCTTCACACAGCTGTAGCAATCGCCCACCGTTATCATTACGGGAGCCTACACCATGTTGGCCGCCCAGATGAAGCTCATAAAAGCACAATTTTCCGACTTGGTTGTTTAGATCGCCAGACAATACCACAGTATCCGTGCTTCTTCTGTAACGAAGGAGATCGTGAAGTTGCTGATAGGAATGATCTTTTACCGAGTTAGTGCAACAGTTTGTTGGGGCGTAGGCCGCAATGACAAACAGGCACCGTTTGTCCCCGCGCGACTTCGTAGCATGGAACGAACCAGCTAATCTAACGGCGCACATCCTACTGTTTACTGGGATCCAGGCGATCAGGGCAGCTTCAGTCCGGGGACTCAAAACAATGCCGATGCTAGCGTGACCGGCATTTGAAGCTGCATGATCGCCAGACAGGCGCGATGAGAATGTGCCGCCAGTGTCGCATGTGTGGGAT